AGCCGTTGTAACTATACTGATGCCTTAGAACGTATATCTCAAGGTGGGTGGCGCATTTATGTTGTAGATGTCTATGGGCTCCAGTAACCACTTAACATTAGGTGGGCTGTGAGCTCGTCCACCTATCTAAACAATAAAAAAAAATGATCTTTTTTTTTCTCTCAAAAATTTAACTTTTTAATTAAACGTTGAGATTTTATATGTGTCGATATACTGTACTTGAAGCGTTAGTCAGTTAGATCGAAGACAAGCAAAGTTTTGAGTTAAGCCCTTTATATCGAACAATTAAGTTCTCTTAGTTCATGTCGAGCGATTCACTTAAAGTTCGCAGCATAATCACATTCTCTATGTAGAGAAACTTCGGCGTGTTTCGAAGTGACGCCGCGCAAACATAACATCCTCGAAATATGAACGAAAGAGACACTTAACTTTGAGACTAATTTTGGTAATTTCCTATTTAGGCTCTATTAACTCTAGCGACATTGATATGATTTAATAATATGTTGTTACTTACCAAAAATTAAAGCAATCAGGGTTTTTAGTTTTTCGATATTCTTTCTACGTAAATTTTGCATGTCTCAAATTCAAACTTTGTTTTAAGGGCTAAAAATCTATCTATCTATATATATATAGCGACCCGCCCTCGCTTCGCTTCGGAAACATTAAAACACACATGAAACAAAAAAATAAAAAATAAAAAAAAAAAAAAATGTAGCCTATGTTCATCAGGGACAATGTCGGCTTCTAATGGAAAAAGAATTTTTCAAATCGTTCCAGTAGTTTCAGAGCCTATTCGAAACAAACAAACAAACAAACAAACAAACAAATCTTTCCTCTTTATAATATTAAGTATAGATATAGAAAAATGAATCGCTGTTCGTTAGTCTCGCTAAAACTCGAGAACGGCTGGACCGATTTGGCTAATTTTGGTCTTGAATTATTTGTGGAAGTCCAGAGAAGGTTTAAAAGGTAGATAAATATGAAAATGCTCGGAATTAAATGAAAATAACAATTTTGTTTTCCCTTTGATGTGTCTCCCGTCGGACGGATTCCTTTTGTTTGTTTTAAGTTTATTTTAGGTCTTTTATTTATCGATAGTTCCATTGGTCTCAGATTGCTGTCTGAAATTATATGTATTGAAAATAAATGAAAAGCTGGCCCCGATAAAGATACGTAACGTAGAGCTTTTATCAATACGAGAACCGTGTCGGCATCGATCAAACGACGGTACATAAGGCATGCATGTTTGTAGAGTATCTGTGCTCGTAAACTGTGGTTGTTTAAGTAAAGTGATTTACCGGTTTGTGGAAGGACTACCCGGCTTACCGTAGCGCGAAGCGAAGCGATGACTTACGTTTACAATGCTGCAACCCCCCACTTAACAGTTACGTATTGCTTCACTTAACTCAGAGCCCGGGCGCGGAAAGAATTACACGCAGAAGTAGGTAGACGCGGCCTGCGGACCAACGTAGACACATTGCGAGGTCGGGCTTATAAATTATATTCCGCTCGCTGTGCATACTCCTGCTAATAAACCCGCGAATGAATAGGCGCTGTGCCAAAAACCATGAATGTCTGCAGGTTGTTAATAGATTTTCATGGCTGTAGTTTTTGGTTCGTTTCGGTGTTATGGAGCGTGTACCTGAGCTTATAAATACGTTCGGAATTAGTCGGATAGATATGCTTGGTGGCAGGGTTGACGCGCCGCCTATCGAAGTCGATATAGAGTTGTTTTACGTAGATTATGACTACGGCGGTCAGGCGTCCATGGTGTGGTTACGTGTTGTGTTGCAGCTTGTTTTTAACCTCCCTATGCTGATAGCCTTGAGAGGCTATTTCAGCTTCGCCCTATCATGTAGGTGAGCTCACGGGGCTCAACCCGGAGTGTTGTTAATACTGGCCCTAGCAAGAGCAGTGCTTCGCAAAATCTACCACCGGATCGGAAACGCGATCCACTGAGAAGATACGGCGAGAAACTCAGTGGGCTGTGTCTGTTAATTCGCTCGTCGAGCCCTTAGTTGCAAGCGACGGGTCCGACGAGGGCGGTGACCGGTGCTTGTGGTACCTAAGAGCACCGTTAATGGGTCGGGAGAATCCGTAATGACGTGTTTTGGGCGACGTCGACGTGTTGCAGCGTTGAACGTGATCGCCCTTCCTACGCTACCTCTCCCGGTTGAATCCCGGGCAAGATGGCTGTAGAGACTTGTGTTGAACCGCTTCGAAATTCCCACACACTCCTTGCACGTACTAGGTACGTAAATCAGGTGGGAGATTAGGCTTCCAGTTAGAAAAAAAGGTCATATCCCAATATGAATGCTATCGGCCACTTTTTACCAGCCGAAATATTTTAGGCCTGATTGCTTTGAGAGATAAATAACTATAGCTGCACCAGCCCTACCCAACCGAGCTTAAGACGAAATTTAGAGAGATCCACGTAAAATCTTCCGTCATAAAGTTCTATATGTTGCCAAATTATTTAACAGTTTGCAAAAGCAGAACAATGATTCGCGGTTTAAAAACACGCTTTCAACGATACCATTAATTCTGAATCATCTCTTCCATACTAATTTCGACGGTATAAAATTATGCGGTTCTCAAAACAAATGTAGCGTATATTCATGCGGTAACTGGTATTTTCAAGTGGGGCTCTTTTACAATTTAAAATTCCGCGATAAACATATGTAGATAGGTTGGGGTGTAATAAATTCTGGGGCGAGGCGGTGCCGGTCAGGCGCTAGGGCAGTAAAGTTAATAAAATCACTTTGTTGGCCGATTCCCCTTTACTCATGCCTGTAGATGCGATAATTATGTGGGTTTCGGTTAAAGTTATTGCTTTCATTATTTATTCATCAGTATTTTGCGCAGTAAACAATACTTGAAATATGAAGATACATTTATTCGTTTTATTTAATAACTAGCGGCCCACTTCGGCTCCGCTCGGGTCTTTAAAAAAAATTTCAACGATATTTGACGTTGTTTTATTTTTTTAAATAGAAGAACACTTATTGCGGCATAACTATAATAGTTAGACATATGCTGTCGGGACACTTTTTGTAAATAATAATGTGTTCTACAAAGTCGTAGTACATTATTTTATTCTATCATCAAGAGTTTTCGCAGGGCACGCGATGTAAAAAATATTTTAGGTAATTTTTTTACACTTTGGTTACATTATTGGAGTTTTAAGTAAGGATCCCTTATTTTTTCAAAAAAACTCGTGAATAGTGTAGCTTCCAAACAGTGAAAGAATTCAAATCGGTTCAGTAGTTTCGGAGCCTATTCGAAACAAACAAATCTTTCCTCTTTATAATATTAGTATAGACAAGCAAATGCTATGATATGTGCAGTATTGTTTTAAAAAAAGAACATAACAAAAGCATACAATGCTTAGTTTTTAATAAAAATATTTTACTAAAAACGTACAAAAGCTACAAATCGACACGCGTATCCGTTTTTATTTTAGCACTGTTAAAAGCGGCACAGCGAAAATGTTTGCGTTATAGAACAATATTCATAATTTACGGGGCGTGACGTCATAGAACGAGTGGCTAAGTTAGTTGGCGGTTTCTTTTGCGAGCTGAAAGCGGCGCCTCTCTATTCTTGATATCGCAGTACATTATTGTAATAACAGCACTCGGAGCGTTCTTTGACGGGGTAAGGGCCGTGTGTAACCTCTCGTTTTCCTTACCGAAATTCAAAAGGAGCTCTAACAAAGCTTTGTTTTGCATCGCTCGTTCCGCGAAAGCCGCTGAAAGGCTGGCTTTTTAGATAAGGTTCTCTTATAAATTTTCAGAATAGAGCAGACATTTCGCGCCGAAGTTTTTCGCCGTGGGAATGCGAGCATCTGCCGCGATTCCCATTCTGGTTTCGAGGGTCGACGTTTTGTGGTGGCGCCGTGCTATTTGCGAAACTGTTTCACCCGTTAAGTGGGCAATTATATTTTGAGCGTAATTGAAAAAAGTAACCAACGAAGCGGCGGTAGTTCAGTTTTTTTTTTCTTTCGAATATTTAATGTCTTTTTCTAGAGGCGCAATACACAATTGATTCAAGTTAGTGATAATTCTTTCTTCTCGAGACACTCCTTAATAGAGTTTTGTGACTTTAATGATTACAACGAAATGACTTTAGGTTTATAATAAAAATGTTTTCGGTACCGCCCGGCGAGGACCTTTTGCCTAATTTAATTTATATACGCCTTATTTCTCTCGTAATTTAAGATAAAAAGTTGTATTTTCATTTGGGTTCCGAGTGACTCGCTTAGTGTCCTCAACTTAGGGAGTTAGTAAAAATTAATTTGACGCAACTTTGTGACGGAATGCTCGTTAAGTGTTTAAGTTAAATACAATTTTAGTTTATTTACGACCACTAAGTCTGTTAAGTAGATCGTAATACGTTAAGTTAGAGACTGCGCAATGAAAAGCTGCTTTGTAATATTTATTTAATTAACATCTGTCACCTGGTTTTATATGGTTACTGAAACACATAGAAATCCAAGCGTATAATTGCTGCAATGCACAAATTTTGACTGTTAGCTACGTCATAATGATGTTCTTCTTTTCATATCTATTGGCTGGTAGCCTAGGGGGCTATTCCAGTTACGCCCGGACGGATAGGTGAGCTAACGGGCCCAACTTGACAGAATTTGTTTTTAGTGGTGGTAGGACCTCTTGTGAGTCTGAGCGGGTGGGTACCACCACCCTGCCTATTTCTGCCGTGAAGTAGTAATGCGTTTCGGTTTGAAGGGTGGGGCAGCCTTTGTGACTATATTTGAGACCTTAGAACTTATATCTCAAGGTGGGTGGCGCATTTACGTTGGGCTCCGGTAACCACTTAACACCAGGTGGGCTGTGAGCTCGTCCACCCATCTAAGCAATGAAAAAAATATGCCCTAGCAAGAGCAGTGCTTCGCAGAATCTACCACCGGGTTGGAAACGCACAGGTACATTCAGCAACTGAACAATGTACTGGGTGTTATGTGTATGACAAATATATTCACTAACCTATAACGGATAGCCGTATCTGAAAGTTTCTTGTTGGCGAGTTCTTGAAGTCGACCCGGCATCGGTAGACTCCCTCGTCGTCTAGCTGAACCGTGTCGAGGGTGAGGGCAGCCGGACGGGCGACTGTCGCGAAATACGCCCGGGGACCGAAAGCGTTAGGGTCGGACCATTGGAGGGCTTTGTTGAACGAGCGCCCGCGGACGTCGAAGCTGAAACAAACGTGGTATGTTAATTTAGTAATAATTATATCATTTCTGGTGGTAGGACCTCTTGTGAGTACGCACGTGTAGGTACCACCGCGCTTTCTGCCGTGAAGTAGTAACGCGTTTCGGTTTGAAGGGTGGGGCAGCCGTTGTAACTATGCTGAGATCTTAGAACTTATATCTCAAGGTGGGTGCCGCATTTACATTGTAGATGTCCATGGGCTCCAGTAACCACTTAACACCAGGTGGGCTGTGAGCTCGTCCACACATCTAAGCAATAAAAAAAAACAAGCTTCAAGGGCCGATGACAGTAAAATAATTTTATAATTTTGGTTTAATATCCTGAATATTGCGAATTGGATAAAAAAAATAACTTAATAATAATTGTTAGTTCGGTTTGCCATTTAAGGTGTTTTTTTTTTACTTTATAAACTACATGTATCGGGTGTATTGTTCTAGAGTATAGTGTGTGTAATTTACTAAATAAAAATAGATGCGTAGATCTGTTGGTACATAAAATTATGAACCAGCGAGAGCACTGTCGTATTTATTATAACAGATATACCCGGGGTTGTCCGGGTTTTGTCGTTTACTATGATAAAAGTAACCTATGTGTTAATCCGGGTTATAACTATCTTCGTGCGTGTTTTTCATCTAAATCCGCTTAGCCATTTTAGCGTGATAAATCTATTCAACTATTGCGCAAATAAATGAAAAAAAAAATCTATTCAACTATTGAATAGATTTATCAACTATTGAATAGATTTATTGCGCAAATAAATGAAAAAAAGCTATAGGAATATGTATATCTTAAGGATTTGAGATTCAAATGAGAGGTTTTTTTATATTTTAAAATTGTTACATAGTAGTTATAGCTAGAATTAGAATAAACTATTTTCACTAACATCGCTGTTAGTTAAAAAAAAAAAAGCGCAAACAGTTTCAACAAATTATTATAGCATGTAGATTTATAGCTATTAAAATTTAATTACAGACTAACTAACAACAACGCGTATGCTGAGTAATTGCATAGTTAATATTTACTTTGCAGAGTTTCTCATTAAAACTAGGAAAAGTACTTTCTAGGAAATGAATTGTCGTTTGTCGTGATATATTTACAGGTTGAGTAAAAAATTCAAGGTACGACATCTTGTGTTGCTCAAATAAGTTAAACGCATCTTCTATGGAAATAGATATATATCATGATTTACGAGAAACGATATCATTTCTGGTGGTAGGACCTCTTGTGAGTACGCACGTGTAGGTACCACCGCCTTGCCTATTTCTGCCGTGAAGCAGTAATGCGTTTCGGTTTGAAGGGTGGGGTAGCCTTTGTAACTATATTGAGACCTTAGAACTTATATCTCGAGGTGGATGGCGCATTTACGTTGTAGATGTCTATGGGCTCCAGTGACCACTTAACATCAGGTGGGCCGTGAGCTCGTCCATCCATCTAAGCAACAAAAAAAAAAAATTGATGGACGAATAATAATCGTGAGCCTACACGAAAACCTACATTATAAGATTAATAGTTTGGCGCTAGAGTATCAAGTGTACCAATTACCTACACGTTGTCTGTGTAATAAACACATCGTCTAAGGGCGAAGTTCATCGCTCCTACCCAGGGCTGCTTTGTTCATCACAATGTCTTTCCAGATTATTTTTTTGCCACGCACCATCAATCTCTGGAATGAGCCCTTCAATGAATGCTATGCAATATCTTCTTTTGAATGGGGTTTGAAAACGTCCTCGATGGTAGAGAGTGGTTTCTCTGCGCTTGAAGTCGTCGTGACCTAAAGGATTAGACGTCCGGTGCATTCGTGTTGAGCGATGCACCGGGGTTCGAATCTCAGGCGGATACCAATTTTTCTAATGAAGTACGTACTTGACAAATGTTTACGATTGACTTCCACGGTGAAGGAATAACATCGTGTAATCAAAAAGAAGCCCGCAAAATTATAATTTGCGGAATTACTGGTGGTAGGACCTCTTGTGAGTCCGCGCGGGTGGGTACCGCCAACCTGCCTATTTCCGCCGTGAAGCAGTAATGCGTTTCGGTTTGAAGGGTGGGGCAGCCGTTGTAACTAACTATACTTGAGACCTTAGAACTGATATCTCAAGGTGGGTGGCGCATTTACGTTGTAGATGTCTATGGGCTCCAGTAACCACTTAACACCAGGTGGGCTGTGAGCTCGTCCACCCATCTGAGCAATAAAAAAAAAACCTGAAATTACTAATTACACGATCATCTAAAACAAAATTTCAAAGCACTCCTTGTTTGATAACTATAATAATAGCGAAAATCTGAACCGCGCTGAGGACATTCGGAAGATAATCTTGGATAATACAAATTCTAAGCAACAATATTCGGAAGCCGCGCCAAAAAAAACCGTTGGGAAGGCTTCTCTTTATTGTTCTCTTCATGGAAAATATGATATCAAATAAAGAGAAAAAAGGCTACAAATGATTCGTGACTAAACATAAAATAGCTTGTTCAGAATTCAAAAAGTAATAAAAAATATATGATTCTTAATAGTCTTTTTACTTCGCGTAAAGAAAATATTTTTTTTTAATTTTCATTCCGATGCATTCATCACCTTTTACAACTCGTACTTATTATAGCTTTATTTATGAAATCGTTGAAAAAAGCTTTCTAACAACAAATGTTTGCATGCGCCATTACATTATGATGTTGAAGATTCGTGACCACAACGCAGTAAGGACAAACGCCTTCCAATATTCATTATATGAGTTTTGATTTTTGGATGCCTATTATTGTTGCCAACAACCCCGAAAGTGCTCTGAGGAATTGTTCGAGATGATACCGACATCTCGTTTTTACCATTGCACCGCCCGCCACCGGAGTAGAGTTCATCCATACTACCTGGAGCCACTACGTTCATCCACAGTGTGTTTCCAGTGATCAGAGAATTTTTTTGCCACGTACCATCCGGCTATGGAATCAGCTCTCCTCCACGGTGTTTCCCGAGCGCTATGACATGTCCTTCTTCAAACGAGGCTTGTGGAGAGTATTAAACGGTAGGCAGCGGCTTGGCTCTGCCTCTGGCATTGCTGACGTCCATGAACGACGGTAACCACTCACCATCAGGTGGGCCGTATGCTCGTCTGCCTTTACGGCAAAAAAAAAACATTTTCTAATCGTAACTTGTACTGTTTACTATTTGTAACTTATATACTACTAGCTTTTACCCGCGACTTCGTCCGCATAAGTTTTTTTGTTTTCTCCCGGCTATAAGTCCCCCTGCAACAATGTCCCACTATCGTGTTCCAGTCCTCAACTTCACATCAAAATTTGTTCAAAAGCAACCTAAGCTACATAATGGATAGCTCCGAATGTTTCCTTAGTAAATATAAAAAGTAAATAATGTAAATCGGTTTAAAATACTACTAACTACCTACCTGCCAACCCCCGATGTTAGACAGTGTGACATCCGTAACATCGTCTGCGTAGGAAGTACTAACTTAATGTAAGTAGTATAATAATGTAGGAAGCTAAAAATAAGAGGCCTTATTACTGTAGTACATTTTTGTAAACTATGTTCTTTGTTTTTCCCTCTCTGGCCAACACATGGAGATTCTGTGGACTTGAAACACGTGAGCAAGCCACGTATAATTGTCCGTGAGAAAAACAACTCTTTTCTAAATTAATGCCGGCTACTTTTAATGTTTGCCCCTGAGCTTTATTTATCGTCATAGCGAATGCGATTTTCAGCGGAAACTGTAATCTCTTAAACTGGAATGGCAAATCTGTCGGAATTATGGGTATACGGGGGATTAAAACGTTCTCTCCTTTTGCCATTCCAGTCATAATGATTGCTTTTACAATATTGCGACCGAGGTGTGTCACTTGCAACCGTGTGCCATTACACAGTCTTGGTGCATCTAAATTCCGCATTAAAAGGACAGGAACGCCTACTTTCAGCCTCAGTTTGTGTGAAGGTACTCCCGACAGTTCTAAAGAATTAAGAAATTCTACAGGGTATGATGTTACTTGTTCAGTATCCATTACAGTGTCTACAGAGAGAAACTCAACAATATCAGAGCGAAGCGGTACTTCACGCCTGGACAAAGGCTTTTGCTTTATAAAGCACAAGTCCGGCCTCGCGTGGAGTACTGCTCCCATCTCTGGGCCGGGGCTCCCAAATACCAGCTTCTTCCATTTGACTCCATACAGAGGAGGGCCGTTCGGATTGTCGATAATCCCATTCTCACGGATCGTTTGGAGCCTCTGGGTCTGCGGAGGGACTTCGGTTCCCTCTGTATTTTGTACCGTATGTTCCATGGGGAGTGCTCTGAGGAATTGTTCGAGATGATACCGGCATCTCGTTTTTACCATCGCACCGCCCGCCACCGGAGTAGAGTTCATCCATACTACCTGGAGCCACTGCGGTCATCCACAGTGCGTTTCCAGAGGTCTTTTTTGCCACGTACCATCCGGCTATGGAATGAGCTCCCCTCCACGGTGTTTCCCGAGCGCTAAGACATGTCCTTCTTCAAACGAGGCTTGTGGAGAGTATTAAGCGGTAGGCAGCGGCTTGGCTCTGCCCCTGGCATTGCTGAAGTCCATGGGCGACGGTAACCACTCACCATCAGGTGGGCCGTATGCTCGTCTGCCTACAAGGGCAATACAATGTAGAGTGGTCTGTTGAACTCTTGGTACTTTTCTATCAGCATTTCTAGCGAGTGTATGTGGTCCAGTGTTGAAAAG